TGCGGTATGTCTTTCAAAACTGTAGGTTGATCAGAGTTAACAGTAATTTCGCTAAAGAACTAAAAGAAGACAGGTCCGTTCTTACCGCATGGTTCGTCTTTCTCTTGATCTTTTATTCTTGTGCCTGTGTAGTCTTCTTGAGGATCTTGCGCCTCTGACGAGTCAAAATACTCTCTTTGGCTTTGACCGCGCTTTGCAGCCAAAAACGGATTAGCCGGTGCATCTTTGTGTGCTACTCGCACTCGCTTTCCCTGATGGCAAGTTTGCTTTTCGTTTGGGTTTTGAACCGCTTTGCTTTTTCGTTTGGGTTTTGATAAAAAGCAGTCTAGCGAAGAACATGCCTGAGGATTAGGAACTGTTGATTTTTTAGCCGGAAAACATGGGTTTCACATTTCAGCTTCCCGTCGATTTTCGACAAATAAATGACAAATACCGATTACAAGTAATACATTTAGACAGACCATGGTGATTTTGTCATAAGGCCACATTTTGGCATTATAAATCCACAATTTATCGCTTTATCTCTCGCCTTCGTTCTTCCCTTTTACAATTTGCTAAATGCCGATTTCGCGATTTGCCGAACAGTGACGAAGCAATTTGCCGACTGGGCCGATTTTCGAAAATTATTGGGGGGGCGAAGCACCCCCCCACACCCCCCCGCTCGCGACGGCCCTGGTCAGACATGTTAGTGCAATTCTTTTACGAATTTGCTTCAGAAAACGCACGACATGCAGTCATCGAGCTTCAAGAACAGCACAATCACCTGGCGGAGAACCCCCTCACACTCCTATCATCCAATAAATAGAAAACATGATTAGGGGAAGTTCAAATCCCGATGTTTTGCAAACATCTCTTAGTATATATCAATTCAAAAGTGTCCTTTCACGAAAATCTGTTCCCTTGCCTTCACATCGTTCCGGCGTCCCTGATAATTACTATATTTACGATTTAATGGGATCAAGGCTTAAAATGCATCAACAATGTGACCGATAATATAGGGCTTCAGAACAATATTGTAGTTGAATCTCGCTCTAAAATTTCTCCGTTTTTGTGTTGATGATATTATAGTTACTCTTAACGACACTGTGCGGTGATCGATTTAGGGCCACCGCTTGTGGGTCCATGTTACTAAGAGCTCGAGGAAACTGGAATACCGAGAAAAACCAAAGGCGTTTGCATGGGAACGTCAAACTGGGACTCCAGCTCACATGTGTCTGAGCCAAAATTGTGATCTGAAATGTAATTATATTTACATGCAACTGTATAGTGCAGGAATCGAACCATGGTCACAAAATTTACATTTTAGTATTCATTCTGTAGCGCCAAATACATGTGCATACGACACAATGCGCTTTATGTTTAAAGTGCACATATTGTGATGTGGAATTTTACAATGATATATATTCAAAAACATTCTAAGACGAAACGCAACACACCTTCTTAGAGAGAAACTTAACTCATCTTCGTGACCTTTTGGCTGTTAAAACTACCGGAAATGACGTTTCATAAGGCATTTTTGTAGTTATGTGGCAAGAAACAGAGAAAACAGATTAGCATTGCCTTATCGATTAACATTTGCAATAAAGTCGAAATATTAGCTTGAATTTTGTTGTTTAGTTTATTAAATAGCTGGAATCGTGGGTTTACAAGATAAAGAAATTCAGCGTGTGTTAATTTCATCTTACACTAATATGGCTATGTCAGCTTCTGTATTTAGCATTACATCCAAGTAGAAATAAACTATACATTTATTTTGTTTTAGTCCATATTCTAAAAGTAAGTTCACCATAGCAAGAGTTCTGGCAGATATCAGCTACACAGAAAATGGAAGTATATCTGAAGCGCAGTTACTGAAGGCATCATATTTCTATGAGCAACTTCCTTCTCTGGTGGATCCTTCAGACAATGTAAGTGAACAGAGGCGTTGTACATACCTCCATATCCTAAACGTTTAGGGGTTCTTAACGATAACAGCACATATCAGTGTCGAAGATAACAGCACTTATATCACACTTGCGTCGGTTTTCTTTGTTCGTCCGAGGTTTATAACTAGCTTATAGACCTTGAATAAATGATTGGATTAAACTTGTAGACAAAACGCGAGAATTTTTCATTAAAAATTTTTGAAAATGACAAAATATGTTGGAAAACTTCCGCAAGTGTGATATAAGTTAGTTATAAACCGAGTAAGTCGGTTTATAACTGATTAACATACCGACTTACTCGGTTTATCGGGATTTGAACTCGTTAACATGACCGACTTACTCGGTTTATAACTAACTTATATCACACTTGCGGAAGTTTTCCAACATATTTTGTCATTTTCAAAAATTTTTAATGAAAAATTCTCGCGTTTTGTCTACAAGTTTAATCCAATCATTTATTCAAGGTCTATAAGCTAGTTATAAACCTCGGACGAACAAAGAAACCTCCTACTCGGTTTATAACTCTTACATATCAGTAGCGATGGCGTGCTGTAAGGAGCTCTGTGATGAGCTCTCTGATAAAACCGATATCTTTCTGAATTTATCGACAACGAGTTTGATTGGTTTTTTCGGCCAAAAGAAAAACAAATTAACATGGAGTGGAACCCTGAATGACTTAAAAACATTTGTGTCAACAATAATCGATGAAAAAGCCGCAGAAAGTTCCGTCTGGCGATCACCAAGCGGCGGCAAGTGGTGTTTCACCTGCGAAGATCTTGAGATTACGTGACACTCGAAGAGTGGAGCAATAATTTTTGACGGAGTCAAAGCGGGAAATTTGGTAAAGCGAATAAAGGATATCCTCTCAAAGCCAGACGATGCGGAGAAGACTATCAATAGCGATCTGAACATGGAAGCGAATACTGATCGAGGTTCGTCACGCATCATTAAAAACGAGGTATCTAGTCATAACAGTACTTGCTCTGTAGTTATAGAGGGTATAAAACTTGAGATGGTAATTTGGAAACCCGGCTACTCAATACCATAAAGGAGAATAAGTCAGACATTTGCTCGCTTAAATTTAAAGTCAAAGATCTAGAAGGTGTCATCCGACATCAGGATGACGCAATTCTCAAGCTCTCAGAAGATAATTTAATTTTAAAATCTAAATTATCCTCTTTTGAAAACTTAACTTATAAAGTAATCTGCCATGACCATGTGAATAATGAACGTGCTAATGAGTCTGCCAGTACAACCCAGGTTAATGACCAATGTGGATTCCACGACAAAGACCAACTGACTAATTTGAATGCCAACAATTCGAGGTTTATTGAAACTTCAACCAAGGAAAACCCCTCTTTGCTTAATGGTACACAAGTTCCGGATCCCCACGAAAAGCAGCGCTTGACAATAGATCTAGCTACCCAGCGGAAAGAACGCATTAACATAATGACTAATGTAGTTAATGACCAATGTGAATCCCAAGATAATGACCAACCCACTAATCTGAGTATTAACAATCCAAGTTTTAACGAAATTTCAACTAATGAAAACCGCTCATTGCTCAATAGTACACAAGTTCCAGTTTCTTATGACAATCAGCGCGTGACAATAGACCTAACTACCAAACCGAAAAAAGGGATTAACATAATATACAATCCACAACCTGACAACGAGAATAACTTGGGCAATAATCGACACCCTCGTGCAAAGCACAACACCCCCTGCCCATTCCTTAGGCGCCGAGGGTGGTGCACAAAAGGAAACCGATGTGATTTCAAACAAACAGAAACATTTGGTACCCTGTCCTTTCCTACAAAAGCGACGCTTCTGCCTTAAGGGCACTAGGTGCGATTTTTCTCATTGCGCCACTTTTCCTCATAGCATACAGCCAATAAGGCCTATCAAAAACTATTTTACTCCTCCGCATTTTTACGACAATCGACAGCCTATAGTCCCACAACAAAGAAAACACTGGTCCGATTACAATCAAAGCGTTCAATGGCACCCCAATGGACCGGGGCTTTTCAATCTCCCCCGAAACCGCTAATGGAAACCCCTTTATGCCTTCCCTACACGTTCCAAGTTCTCCCCTATTGCAGGGCACGGTATGCAGAAACACTGGTGTAATCCCTGTCGTTAGCGCTAATACTCACAAGATCCCTGTGAGAATTACTAACAACCGTGCAAAAACCGTCGTTAACCACATTAATAATCATAGACAACTGAAATTAGTCAGTACTTCAATACATGACCAGGCCATGAACCGAAACAACATATCAAGATTACCGAGTTTTCTTCTTATAAATGCTCGCTCACTGTTACCCAAAATAGACGAGCTATCCCTCTTACTATCAATACATTCTATAGAGTTTATTGCTGTAACTGAAACGTGGCTCAATGATACTGTTCCTGAGCAACTAATTTACATAAATAATTACAACATTTTTCGCAATGATAGATCTTACAGCCGTGGTGGGGGTGTCTGCGCTTTCATCTCGACAAATATCCCAGCTAAAAGAAGAATGGACCTTGAAAACCCCTCTCATGAATGCTTATGGTTATGGCTGCGACCCCACCGCCTCCCAAGACACCTAACTGGATTAACTGTTGTGTCCTATATAACCCGCCTGTTACACCAGTCAATGAGCAAAAGGAATTAACGGCCTATCTCATCGATCAGATTGACCGAGTTAGATGTACCCACCCCGACTGCTGTGTTGTCTTACTCGGTGATTTCAACAATTTAGATATTAGCGATCTCCTGTGCCATCACAATCTTACGCAAATAGTGGACACCCCAACGCGTGAAGGTAACATCTTGGATCTAATTGTTACTAATCTAGAAGCCTTGTATTCTAAGCCTGTGATTATAGCACCGCTCGGCTCATCAGATCACAACATTGTTAAATGGTCCGTGAAAACTAACGTTTTAAGAACAGATAATAAAACAATTAAGGAAAACATACGTTCCTTCCCCATGTCGGCACGTGCAGCTTTTGGAAGATGGTGCTGCTCACGTGAGTCGTTCTCTGATGCCGAAAGCAAAAACTCTGCGACCGCCCTAGCGTCCTCCTTTACCAACGAGTTAAATTATAATGATAGGTTATTCCCGTCTAAGGTTATTAGAATTCATAACTCTGACAAAGTGTGAGTGAAAAAGCGTGCATATTACACGAACAAGGTACAACACCTTAAATCCAGTGACTCCAGAAAATGGTGGGACTGTGTTAACCAGATGTCTGTAAAAAAAAGATCTGCAACCAATAACATTAAGATCGTTAAGAATGGTACCACTCTATCTGGTAAAGATCTCGCCCAATCACTTAACACCTATTTCTTAAGCGTGAGTAATGACCTACCACCACTGAATCCTCTCCTGCTACCTGCCTTTCTCCCTGCACCTAGGCCTGTACCAAAAATTTTCCCTGACGAAGTTTGCACTAAGATGCTCAATACAAAAGTTTTCAAATCCAGCGGTCCTGACAATATTCCTAACCGGATTATTAAGGATTTCGCGTACGAATTGGCCGAACCTGTATGTCACATCTTTAATACATCTCTGTCCACTGGTGAATTCCCTAACATATGGAAAGATGCGTTAATTACACCAATTCCTAAAGCGCCATCCGTATCCTGTGAGGAGGAGTTGCGCCCAATCTCCCTTACAGCCTCTTTGTCCAAAATTCTTGAGGACTTTGTGGTCAATTGGATGGTGGATGACGTGAAACATAAAATCAACCCGCAACAATTTGGTTGCCTTAAAGGAACCTCTACAACGTTTTGCTTGATCGATATGATCAACAATTGGCTAAGAACATTGGATGATAAATCGAGCTATCTGCGGATCGCTTTCCTCGATTTTAGTAAAGCGTTCGACCGCATCGACCATAATATCGTAGTCCCAAAGTTGCTGGCCCTTGGCGTCAGATTGTCGCTTATTCCATGGATATGTAGCTTTCTCTCAAATCGCCGTCAATCGGTAAAGATCGACAATTTCCAATCTGATTGGGGCATCAATAACGCAGGTGTTCCTGAAGGAACTAAATTGGGCCCTATTTTGTTCATAATTATGATCAACGATCTTGAACTGGCATCCTCTAGCACTGACCATTGGAAATACGTGGATGACGTAACAATATCGGACTCCTTAAAGAAAAATGAAGTTTCAGTCCTACAATCTGATCTTAACACAATTGAAAGATGGACTGTTAATAACAACATGAAATTGAACGGAAAGAAATGCAAAGAAATGAGAGTGAGTTTCGCCCGTAGCGAGAATGACATCCCCCGACTCCTCATTGATGGTTTACTTCTAGACTTAGTTCCTTCTTTCAAAATTTTGGGCTTAACCATGAACAATAAATTGAAATGGCAAGATAACACTGAAGCGTTAGTTAAAAAAGCCCCAAAACGCTTATACATTATTCGTGTCCCCCAATGACCTCTTATTAGTCTACTTTTCTATGGTGCGCTCTATCTTAGAATATGCCTGTCCTGTTTGGCACACCATGTTACCAAAGTGTTTGGGGGATAAAATTGAAAAAGTTCAAAAAAGAGCTTTCCATATTATTTATCCGACAACAGATTACGAAGATGCTCTCAACATCGCTAAATGCAAGCGCCTTGTCGACAGACGTCAAGAGCTATGTGCTAAAACTTTCAAAAAGATCTTAAAACCCGATGCCCACCTCAATCACCTCTTACCCCCACCCCGTGAAGAATCGCATGAACTGGACTTAAGAAACAATTCTAACTTCACATTAGCTAAAGCAGAACGGAACGTTTTAAAACTAGTTTTATACCAGCAATGACTGCTAATTTTAATAGTAAATAATTTGTAGTATTTTAACAACTGTACATATATACGATATATCTATATTTATATTATTTGATATTCATCCTTTATTATGTTTCTGTAAGCATATTGCAATTCACCTTCGGGTGCCAAAATGTTTTCTTAATAAACCTTTAATAATAAAAAAAAAGATAGTTACCCTGGTAAAGTTTAATAATTTAAATAATCACCCTATGCAGTTATTAATATTCACTGTTAATTTGTAATGGTATAGCTTAACAGCTTAGTTTTTCCCGGTTCATGCACTGGTTTGAAAAATATATTTATTTATTGAAGTTATACAAGCTTTCGAATCCCACACTTAACAAAACTAAAGACTGAAGAGATTGGTAATTAAAAGCTCGTGGCTTGAATAAATATTTGAAACCAGAAAACGCAGAAAACCTTAATTGCAAATAATCTTGCGCAGTGTAACATGATGTCACTCACGAACTGTCCAAAAAAGAAGCTTCTCAAACGTCATTAATAATTGATGTGCTAAGCACAAAGGAAACCAGCACCGTATCGTTGTCTTGATAATGCACTGCCTATTAACACTCAAGCATTAACGCCCGTATTCTAAAAGCTCACTCACACTCAATGAGTGGAGGTTCAATTGGAGCTTTTCTCGAGTGTCATTTCTGTTTTTGAATAGCTGGAGGGTTAGTGCCATACCGTACTATGTGACTGCTCACCGTCCAGCTATTCAAAAACAGCATTGACACTCAAAGGAAGCTCTGATTGAACTTCCACTCATTGAGTGTGAGTGTGAGTGAGCTTTTAGAATACGGGCGTAAGTCTCGAACATTCTGCGCAAGTATAGGTAGCGACGATAACAAAATAGCTGGGGGTTGACAGAGATACAACTGCCTGAAAAATACAAGCAGAACTTTCCACGTTTCGAACGAAGCCCTTTGGCTACTATAAGTTTCCGACATTTTCCTTATTTTTTTCAGGTAGTTGCATCCATACCAACGTAAACTTGTGCATACTACACTGGCACAAACAGTTCAAGATTAAGATAATATAAACTCCAAAACTGTTTGTTACCATCCGGCGGCGTATATCAAACACCTCAAAGAATGTGAAGACATCTTAACTAGAGCCTCAACACACTTTTCGGTATTCGATATTTCATCAGTACACCTGCAATAAACGCCTTTTTCGTTATCATATATTCGTTATCATATATATACAGACGGTACCGTTTCGGCCTTATGGGCCTCATCAGTGTAGTGCTGATGAGCAGGATGAAAGTAACTGCTATTTACAGTTACCTTTGATGCCTCACGATTGTGGGACATCAAAACCATGCCAGAGCGCTCAAACTGCAAGCAGTGAGCGTGCGCAATGCGTAAGCGGCATGGCTCATCCTGTAGCGCACTCGATATGACCTAAAGGCCATAGAGCGATATCTAACTACAGACGGTACCATCTCGGCCTTATGGGCCTCATCAGTGTAGTGCTGATGAGCAGGATGAAAGTAACTGCTATTTACAGTTACCTTTGATGCCTCACGATTGTGGGACATCAAAACCATGCCAGAGCGTTCAAACTGCAAGCAGTGAGCGTGCGCAATGCGTAAGCGGCATGGCTCATCCTATATATATATATATATATATATATATATATATATATATATATATATATATATATATATATATATATATATATATATATATATATATATATATATATATACTAACTACAGACGGTACCGTTTCGGCCTAATGGGCCTCATCAGTGTAGTGCTGATGAGCAGGATGAAAGTAACTCTTATTTATAGTTACCTTTGATGCCTCACGATTGTGCGACATCAAAACCATGCCAGAGCGCTCAAACTGCAAGCAGTGAGCGTGCGCAATGCGTAAGCAGCATGGCTCATCCTGTAGAGCGCTCAATATGACCTAAAGGCCATAGAGCGATATCTAACTACAGACGGTACCGTTTCGGCCTAATGGGCCTCATCAGTGTAGTGCTGATAAGCAGGATGAATATATATATATATATATATATATACACCATACTATCATATTGGGTTTTTTTGCTGCTTAAGGTTGATCCACGAGGCAGAAAGTGGGAAGAAGCATTTGGGAAAATTGTGGAAAAATACAATGATATTTTGTATTTGACCAGAACAAAGTAAGATACTCCTTTTTAGGTTTTTTTGCATAACTGCATGCAGTCGGTGGTATATAAGTTTCAATAATGACCATGAATATCTCCTATTTACTGATTTTTATAAATATTTCAGATGATCAAAATTACTATGATTTTTTTCATAATTATTTAATATATGACAAATTTCTGGTCAATTAACTTAACTCTGTAAATTAATGAAGAACTATACGCACCGTTTTTTCTAGGTTTAGAGAAATTTCTTCCGACGCCATTTCTGGCGACGCTTTTCTTCTCACAACTGGTTATTTAATTATTCTTCTTTACGTCATTATTATTCTCGGAAAATTTACAAGGCTGGAAATAAAGGTAATTTATAATACGATGAATAACAAAGCATTAATTAATGAAAACTTACAAATTATCGTATATGTGGGATATAGCTGAAGGAATAAATTTGTTGTTGCATGGGTGATTCATTTTAATTTGTCTGAACTCTTCAATAGTCATAGTATTTTTCTGCGCGTTGTCTCGAGGTATACTAAGAATGTTCATACAATTGTTTTGGATTTTATCCGCTAGGTATTGCGAGATCCCGCTCCTATTAGCCTGTGAAGCAGACGTCCCGCAAGTTCTCCCTCAAAAACCGTCTGCACGCAGGCTAGCTCCATATCGGTGCATCATAATCCAGTACAGATGTTAATTAATAAATTAATTATTTTTGTCTGATAACAGGAAAAGCCAGCCTCTTGTGGTAAATTTATGGTTACTTTCTTCTTGAGGTTACATTCATGCTAGTGTCTTGGAATTAATGTTTCTTAGCCACCTCGTTCTTGCTTCTTTTACTTTCTCGAAGCTCACTTTGTCAAACTTCCTTGTTTGAAAGATGTTCTATAAGTAAAATTCCTTATATCCACCCTCCTATACTCCTCTTCCTTCTTCAATCCCACATTTTAACTCCATACCACACAATTACCATTTATAAAAGTTCGCCCTACCATGTTTAATCACAATGAGCACTATAAAGGGCGTCTACGCTCGATTTAACTAATTGTAGAAAGGAAAATTTGAGTGTGAATTTTATACGTTTGTTAGACTCAACCAGGAGCAGTGCAAAAAACACAACTATAGGTCCTCTGCCATTTTTCACAACTGCTCCGGGAAAGGTCTAGTGGGTGTATAAATCTCGTACTCGAAACTTAATTAATAAAAACCTAAATGTTTTTTCTCATTTTCTCTATGTAGGCTTGGTTAGCCCTTGGTGGTATCGTTGGTGTAGGATTATCAGTTGGTGTGTCGATGGCTCTCTGCAGTGCTTTTGGATTGTTTTATGGACCAGCTCATACAACACTGCCGTTTCTTTTACTTGGTGAGGTGTCCACACTATAGTGAGTTTGGCAGCCGACAACGGCAACGACATAAAATTACTTACATTTGTGTTGCGCGAGCAAAGGCAAAGATTTCTCAAAGTTCATTTGCCTCTTAACTGTTTTATCTTTCTTTACAAACACCAGTGAACTCACATAAAATACCTTTAAAAACTTATTAATAATTCATGAGGCTTAGAAAAGGTTTATTCTTAAAATTACTTTGCCAATTAATGAAGTCATGACGATGGTCGTTTTTTGAGCCATTTAACACTTGAGCTGCGCTCTCGTATTTTATATCTGATAAAGCACTCCTGCTCGTAAATACTACTTCAACGACTTCCAACGTTTTAACTGTTGGCGGGGTGATGAGCCGTGAAAATGGTATGTATAAAAAATATCACCGTTTGAACAACTACGGTGTACTATAGAATACTCTAGTGAGGGAGTAAAATGCTCTTAGAACAAAATTATATTGTTAGTAATCATGTTGCCGTTGTGTTTGCCAAACTCTGTCAGTAATCATAATAATAATACAGCGAGGCATATGTTTCACTTGTCTTTCATTTAATTACATTCAGGATTTTGGGCTGGTCCTGGTTCCCACCGGGCACACGACGTTGTTTCGACGTTGAAATTTGGTAGAAAAAAGGTTGTGACGTCGACAACCTAATATCTACGTTGCTCTGACGTTGTTTTACAAACATTGGTTCAACAGCAGCCAACAGACGTTGAATTAACGGTCATTCATGGTTGAATGTACGACGTCGATTTGTGAACCAATCTCAACGTTGTTTTAACGTGGATTCAACGTTGAATTATGGTTGACGAGATTGGCAACCTAATTTCAACGTTGTGTCAACGTCGAAACAGTAACGTCGATCCAATTTGCATAGTCAACCCTTTTTCAACGTCTATCCAACGTCTGGAAGGTCATTTCCAACGTTGATTCAACGTTGGATAAACGTCATTTTGCCCGCTGGGATGGTCTAATAAATGTATAAAATTTACACTCGAAATTTCCATCTGCAAATTTCTTCAACATTAGTTTAATCAAGTGCTATGACCCATGCCCACAAATCTTGATATTTACCTTGCCATTGACATCACCTTAGTACTTATACATGAATTACTTGCAGTTATTAGAGCGCTGCGCAGGAATCGCAAGGCCGCAGCTTCGACTCCCGCCAGAGGGTCTATATATCTGCATTTTTTGCGCCTGCTCTTTATAGGTCTTAATGTAAATGTATTTATTTGCATTCAAATTTCGTTGCAGGCGCGTCAGATATTTTAATTTCAACTAATTATAAACTTATTCGATCGCTTGTACATGAAGTGTGTATCAAATTTCTAGGTATTGGTGTGGATGATTTGTTTGTTATCGTGCAATCTTGGTCAAATATTCCAGCTCATATTCATCACAGTAACAGTGTTGAAGAAAGAATTGGACTGGCGTTAAAACATGCGGTACGGATTGCACGAGAATCTAATCTGTAGTTGACAGGAAGCGTTAAATTATGTACAGATTCATTGTCGTTGTGGTTGCCGTCAGTTTTTGCTGACGTTGAATTGTTGGTCGTTTTTATTGTTGTTGTTAGGAAATTTTTAGAATTTAAGACATTCTTGTAATCTTTGGATTCACTTGAACTGGATCAAAATAGATCAATGGTAGAAAGCAACTAAAAATGTTACACAGAGCGAATCCGTAATTGTCAATCAATAAGCAATTATTGGATGAGGCTGAGCATGATATCAAGAATTATTCAGACCGAGGTCAATGTTATCTGCCGAAGCGAAGCTGAGGCGGATAACATAGAGCGAGGTCTGAATAATTCTTGATATCATGCGAAAGCCGAATCCAATAATTGTTTTATTATACATTTAAAGACATGAGAAACGTATAAAACGATTCCTGTTCATGAGGTAGGAAAAGTACAATTTGAATATCAAACACCTTGCACAAAGTCAAAGGTCAGCTAAATATTATATTTCTACTTCTATTTACCCCTTTGTGGCTTTTTTCGTGCTTTCACTATCCTTATCTGCCAATAATTTGGAGAGTTCACTTTCATTCAGCGAAGCAAATCTGTTGTCGGCCATTGTTTGTTTGTTTTTTCCCGCGCTTAAACCGCGCTTATAGGTTCAAGCTTTTGGCCGCGCAAGGGTTTGGGCACGAGAGAGTCCAATAATTTTTTTTTTGGATGCAAGTTCGATCCAAAAAAACAATTATTGGACGCTGATGACGTCATCGGCGGAAAATACGTAATAAATGACGAATACTGAAAATTAGCCGGTGCTTTCTGACCAATTAGAAACGAGAATACATATTAAATGTATAATAATATGTGTTATTTTCATTTCTTATCCAGGGATCATCCATAACAATTACGACATTTACTGATCTCTTGGCGTTTCTTGTTGGTGGAAGCACGGTACGTAAGAACATTTTCCTTCCCTTTTTTTTAGAGTTCACATTAGTACCGAATGTTTTACGTGATCTAAATATTGTTGTGAATCTTAGATGTTTTGCTAGTTATTGAAATTAATGAACAAACTAAACTAATAAAATGAGAAATAGACTTGTAAGGAGCCGTCGTGATATGTTTCCATTTGGTCGCGATATCTGACTAATTATCTGATCTGTCAAACATTAGATAGCTTAAGATCTACGACGTCGACGTCAGGTAAGACGTCAGGACTAAGCAGAGAACTGGGACTAGGACGACGTCGTCCTAAATAAGTCGATAGCTCAAGTATCTTAGGGCGGCAAGCGGAAGTAAATTGGTAATAGTTTTTGAAGTGTGCATGTGTCTCTGTCAATTTGCTCGTCGTCCACCAAACGTTGACAACCTCACAAGAAGAGTTTTGCCGTCGTAAAATACAACAGCATAACAAACGCTAATGGATTCACACGTCTCTTTTAAATTCATTTTCAAAAGGATATAAATATTTATAATTTGAATGTCGACGTCGTGAATCTTAAGTGGAAGTTTATTTATTTAGGACGACGTCCTAGTCCCAGTCCTCTGCTTATCCCTGACGTCCTAGCTGACGTCGACGTCGCAAATCTTAAGCTATCTATTGTATGTGTTCAACAGCATCACACATAAAGTGTATTATTTTGCATTTTTAAGATTCATGAAGTCCAAAAGCGTTTAAGCGCTAATTCCAGGAGAAAGCATTGCCCCTTCATAGTGGTAACCCAATAATGTGTACCCGCAGTGTACCCTTAGATTGGGAACATCGAGTTTATCCTTCAAATATAATAACCATGCACTAGTAACTTTTTCTCAATTTACACCCTGTCAGGTTTTGGTATTATATTATTATAGGATTTCAAAAAGATCAAAATCATCTTTTTGATTAGCATATTTTGACTTCACGGCAACATTCATTTTCTAGAAATATAATATCCTATAGTTTATTCAAATATACCTATACTATTATATCTATACCATGAATATGGTTTGGTTTACGAAATGCTAACGAGTGCTCGATATCATATAAATAGAGCAGATATAGTTGTTTTACTTCCAAAGGTTGCTACAACAGTCTGTTTCATCCAAGAGGAATCATCAGGTGGCTAAAAATCTCGAAAAGTGGGCTGCTTAAATGTTTACGGTAGGAAACGTGGGCGTCAAACAATACATGCATTCCTTCTATTGTTATCCTTGCTTATTTTAAATATTTTTGATGATCACATCCGATTCTTTGTTAGGTTAAAATTGTTTTGTTTTTCCTTTAAAATACAGAATTCCTTCCGTACAAGAAACAGCGAGTTTTAGTATATTGACCAAGTTATGTATAACTTAGATTGAAATCGTGTTTGTTTTCCTCAAATTAATTTCCAAATATATTTCGAATTATATTTGTCAATCCGGCTGAGAAAGTTGTGTCCTATGTTGGTAGTTTACATTCTTACTGAAAGGAGGGTTTAACCAAATGAAGCTGCGTTGTTTATTTCTACGTTGTTGTTGTGGTGTGTCCTTCATGTAGCCTAGTTAGTGATTGAAATTGCTGGGTCGTAGTGCATTTTGGTAAAGTGTTGCATTTTCTCCTGAAATGTTTGCTCGTCTGATGAGAGATGTTAGATGCGCTTGTTTATGGATCCTAGGAGGATAGTTTGAGTGTCTGTCTATGTATAATGGATCGTCATTGGGTCTCCTATAGGGTTTGTATTTTCCATTGCTGAGGTCGAAAGTGACATCTAAGAAGTTTACCACACGTAAATGTTTCACAGCTGCTGTGATTTTTGAGTTAAATTTGCTGGAATGTTTCGGGGAGTTATTTTCTCGTTTTATCTGCCAAACATGTTGATTCATATGCACGCCAGGAAATCGCTACTTTTTAATAATGGAAAAAGGTGGACAAAAGAGATAGCAAGATTTTATTTGACGTTACCATGGACAGCTACGACGGATCTGAAGTTTGTAAACTTGTAGGCCATTTCATACTAAACCATCCAGGTGAAAAGTTTGGCAAAGAAAACATCGGGCTGTAAATGCAGAGACGACGGATTAGCTATCATGAAAAATAAATCTTTATTATTTTTACAGCACTTTAACTTAAAAATCACAGCAAAGACAAATTTATGTGTATAGTAAACTTCATAGCTAGATGTCACTTTCGACCTCAGCGATGCAAACATTCAAACCATCCTCCTAGCGGCAACTATCTATATCCATGAATAAGCGCATCTCGCTTCTCTCATCAGACGAGCAAACATTTCAGGAGACTGCACCTCTTTACCAAAATGCACTACGACCCAGCAATTTCAATCACAAACTAGGCTACATGAAGGAAACACCATAATAACCACGCGGAAACAGGCAACGCAGCATTATTTGATTTAACCCTTTTTTCAGTAAGAATGTCAAAACCAACATAGGACGCAATTTTCTCAGCCTGATTGACAAACATTTTTCGCCTTACCACGAACTTCACAAAATTTTTAACAGAACACAGTTAAGGTCAGTCACAGTTGCATGAACAATGCGAAGCCCATCATTATAGCCGACATAATGCACGCATAATTAGGAGAAGCAACAGAGCAAAGACGCAACTGTCACAACAAGCAACACAAACAGTATAAGGCACTACATTGGCATGACAGCAAGACAGCAAACAGCTTTAAAGAGCGATACCGAAACTACAATAGGTCTTTCAATCTCAAACGACACAGAACTTTCGAAATATATTTGGAAATTAGATGTAATTTGTATAAAGGAAAAAATAAACAATTTTTACTTAACAGAAAATTGGAAATAGTTCGACATATAGTTATAAAAAGAAAGTTCTAGTAAACAATAAAAACAATGGAAGGAATGCATGTATTGTTTGACGCCCACACGTCCACGTTTCTAACTGTAAACATTTAAGAGCCCACTTTTCGAAATTTGTCAGACACTTGATGATTCCTCTTGGCACAATTCACCGTCGTTTTTGAGATTTTGTTGTTTAATATTTCCAGATCATTCCTGGACTTCAGTCTTTCTGCTTCTATGCAGCTTTAGGTATGTTTTCAACAATAGCTTGTTTCTTTTCTGCATGTATAGAGTATTCCGCATTTGACTTTGTTCTTAATTTAAAACGCATCGGTATTATCAAAGTATTCACTTGCTTAGTTACAGTAAGTCTTGCTTATATGTACATATAGTAATACCCAATGTATCTTCCTTAGAAAAGATATTTACATCATGGATCTCTACACTTGATTATGCTGGACTCTTACTTTTGATTATAAGAATATGTTACCCACCCGGAAAATCGTTCGTGCATGGATACAATACGTTTATCTACTGTTACTCATTTTATCTTTCAGGAATTTTTTGCGATTATATTTTGCAAACAACATTTTTCGTAGCTTGGCTATCAATTGACGCCAGAAGGTAATGATGTCTATATGCAACACATCAATAGTATTGTATTGAAAGTGACATCCACCTTCAAAAAAAATCTGCCGAGATCCGCATGTTAGATGTGGCGCCAGCCTACTGTAAAAGCAACCGTAGAATAAGTTACAGAGCCCTGGTATGCAGGTCTGCACAAGTCTGTTTGATTTTAATTGTTTTTTTTTGTTTTTTTGGGGGGGGGGAGTTGTCATACTTTTTCTTTTCTCTTCTTTTCCTTTTATCTCTTCTTTCTCTTTTTTCTCAGGTGGACTAGCTATGGATAATTTTCTTGTTCTTTCCTAGTCCTTCCTCACTATACTAACTTTACAAACTTTAACTCTCAATTTTATTTGTTTATATTATTATTCCTTGCAATGCTTGTTATGCTATGCTATATGTTGTCATGGAAATTGATTAAATTAATATAGTTTTTCATGATAGCAGCTTTGTGTATTCCATATTGTTGAAGCCTAATTCTTGCAGAGCAATATTGCCAATGGAACAATTAGTCCATATTCCATTTAATAAAGCAATCTTTGTTTTTAAAAAAAATCTGCGCTTCAGGAGTGACAAGCGACGAGATGGTTGCTGCTGCTGTTGTATCTTACCTCAAGACTACAAACCCAATGAATGTGGAGAGAAAAGTTACTTACAAAGATTTTATGAGAAAGTGGTGGGAAATGTCGTAGTAAAATTACCAGTAAAGGTATTTAAATCGAACTAAAATTATATTGCATACATTTATGTCTCAATTCGAGCATCCCACCTGCAGTGGTAACTAGACCGATATATAGCAGAGCACCATTCTCGGCTGGCATATTGGAGTGTTTCGTGAAGTTAATCATGAAATGTTGCGAATCTATTTCGTAAGGACGGGTTCTCCATGAACTCCTGCGTTCTATTAATATTCATTTTTTACATACTGATATAGGCTCGATAATTTTAGCACTTATAAATAGCGAGCCTGTATGAACGTTGTAAGGCCGTTGGAAAAGGAAATATACACCGTTTTTTGGGCGTTTGCGTTGGCATTCTTTCATTCCTGCCTTGTCGCCGATTAAGAAACATATTCATCACCCCAATGAACTTGTTTGTCAGCTTTTGCTCATATAAAATACAGCTCAAAAAAGTATCTGTTTGGCTACATTCACCTGCCAGAAATACTATAACGTATAAAAATGTACTTATTACACTTGTTTTTATGGAAAACACCGTCAATCGACCGGCCATTTTGCCTGATTTTCAAAACACACGTGAATTAATTGTTTAATCCTGGTGGAATTAAGTCAGAGACAGCAAACGTATCCATATTAACCCAAGCTGTTTTAAAACAATCAGGAAATTGAAAATTGGCTAAACTTCTTCACTGAAACAGCTGACATAAACCGGCAAGATGGAGCCCAATAACACTGAATGACGTCATGTGAAACCAAAAATATATTTTATTGTACATTAACTGTTCAATTTTAGTTGGTCATTTTCATTGTCGTTGGCGGGCTTCTGGGTGTGAATATTTATGGTACAACACAACTAAAACAACAATTTGAACCAAAATGGTTTCTTCCAACTGGAACAATTGTGAGAGATTACATGGATTTAAATGATGAGGTACTTCTTCCAGACTTCGAAATATAAAAATGTATTCATAATTATACACCGTAATAATTGTTCATGTGGTAACTAAACCCAGGCATGTTATAGATAGAAAACAACTCACATGCAGAAAAACATGCTGTGATGCTGGCATAGCCAGTTTGTTAACATGCCCCCGATAATTTTTTCTTACTTTAGCTTCTGTTTCGTCTTCATTATGCTTAAAGAAAATGTCGGCAGATAATAAAAATGATGGCTCATGTAATTTATCCAACAATTATTCCGTGCATGTGTGTTACTTTAAAGAACTTTGTAAGTTGCGCCACGAAATATTGTCTCGTGCATGGTTATGATGAAATATTGTCATGTGCCTGCAAATATAAAAATTGCCTGGAAAATTAATATATAATGTTTATTTTATAGAATTTCGTTCAAGGTGGACAACCAATTGCTTTTTATACAGGTGAGGTCCTTAGGATCTTGAACATTTTCCAATGAAACTGATCAGTCCTCAACAGGTTCACCACCTGCATCTACGGCGGAAGTAACTATATCGACATTTTTGTTTAGTAATTATTGACATTTTTTTATACAGATGGTTTGTTCCGCTACCGTTACCATTAACCAATCAGATATGATTAAGCAATCAAACTTGTATTAACCATGTCAGATGTAGTTGTACTGGAAGTCAAATCTTAACCTCTCTAATCAAATATCTCTGGTATTGCATGGTTATTTTTTTTCTTCTTACATGCACATTTAGGTTTTTTGGTTTTGGTTTTGTCTTGTGGTATTGCATTGGTATCGGGTTTTCTTTTCATTGTTAATTGCAGTGTCTGTTACTTACGAGCACAGAAATCAATGAATATTTAAAGTCAATTCATAAAACATAGAGAATAAAATAGATTTGAGATTGGCCATCAAATTGACAACATATATTTCAAATTTTAAAGGATCAATCAACTATTTCGAGGAACAAAAGATGTTGCATAAACTTAACAAAGATTTACAAAGTGAGACTGAGTACTTGTCAAGTAATACCATCGAAGACTGGTATGAAAGCTACATTGAATGGGCGAACAGAACCGTACCACATTATCTTAATAATGCAAGTAAGTACTTACAATGAAAACAGCGAATCAAAAATATATGTATTGGCATCTTAATAACTGATGTTTAACGGATGGGGAGATTGCAGTCTATCTCAATCCATCCTAACAAACCCATTCCGACACTATTTATGTGATAGAACTGTTTTGAAACTAACACGGAGAAAGTAAAGCAGGAGGCATCAGATGGAAAATCCAGATATATTGAGAATGATTGTAACCGACAGTTTAAAACTTTTCGAAAGATATTTTGCTGAAATAACAACTCTTGGACTGATAACGCATATCATCAAGGAGTTACAGCTACTCGTTCAAGGAACCGACATAAATGTTTTGAGAATGATAGACAAATGTACCGAAGTGGGAGTACGTTCATATACATTCGTTGAAACAAATCGAGGACAAACCCCAAAACACTAAAATTAATAAACATTTTATTCATTGTTGTTGTGCCTGCTAGACTCTGTCGGCTGCCGGGCGAGATAAGCGCAGTCGTCTCATAATTATGCCACTTCTAATTCGGGTTAATTCTAATAAAGTTTTCATTATTATTATGATTATAACTTACATCTCATCTTTGATGTTCCTGTAGGCTTAACGGTCGAGCCTGAAGTTCAATTTTACCAACAATTAAAAGTATTTCTGAACAGTTCAAGTGGAAATCGTTTTATTGATGACATCAAATGGAATAAAAATGCAGATAAAATTGTGGTATGTTATATAAAACACTTTTATGTACATTGCGGTTAATAAAGAAAGTACAAGTTAAGAAATTTCTCATTTCTTAATAGATCTTCGTTTAGTGTGGCAACAGTAAAACTTGTATATAATGTAACTGCCAGTCGCTGGACACTTAATTGATGCACATGGCAGCTGCTTAAGTCGAGACACAGTAACTAAATATTCTAAAATGGTGTCTATCATTAGTAAGTTTAGATCATACGGAGCTATAAATTTTCATATTTGAATAACATTTGACGTCTCCCGCATTATAATAACTCCTTAAAAACTGTTTATTAGGTGCGGGACGTCTAGCAATTTTTGCTTCTAGAATTTTCGATTTTTCATTTTGGCGATTTTGATTTGTTAATGAGTATCGATCACGTGATATATATAGGGCTTAGTTTTTTTTGGAAGCTCATGAAAATTAAAAGCTTGCATCATAAGAAAGTCTAACTCAAGTGAAAAAATGTCGGTATCCGGTATCGCCATCCGCCATTTATTGGAAAATTCCCTGTCTATTTTACCATGGGTCATAAAAACACTCAGGAAAGGAAACTCATCATCACACATGATGTTTTCAGAGTGCTAATTGCGTCAAAGCCTTGTTTAAAATTATGTCATTAATAAATCCAAAATAATTTCACGTTTAGAAATAATATAGCTGAACATTTTGGTAAAATAACGCAAGAATTATACCACGGCACTCCACAATATTGTTGGTCACTTTCAGGGAACATATAATTTATCAAGTATTAGACGGTGAAATACGCGTCACAAATTTCAATTATACAGCAATATTTTTTGTGATACCAATTTGTTGATTACGAAAGTATTACACTGGAAAATAATTTGAAAATCCATAGAAGGTCATAGAATGGAAATTTTATGGACCTTTATTGGAAATAGAATGTATTTTGATTATCCATAATAACTGTATATTTCCATACTGATATGGATTTAGTGGTGTAATTGAAATTTCATAACATGGTTTCACATATTTTTCCCAGTGTTAGAAACAAAAACAAAAACAAAAACAAAAACAAAAACAAAAACAAAAACAAAGACAAAGACAAAGACAAAGACAAAGACAAAGACAAAGACAAACATAATTTACCTCGAATACACTTTGCCATGACACAGGCAGGTTTGAAAGACAACGAAACCATTTTGAATCTCAATATATAGCTACTTCAATGCGAAAAATATAGGAAAAATGGAAGAAAGACTCAGTAAACATTACTGTATTTGTTTTATTTGTGACATCACGAATTTCAAATAGGTCACTTCTGCTGGCGTCTGCTGTCTATTTTCCATTTTTTAAAGCTATATATATATCTAAATCCATGGTTTTGAAATAATGACGAGGGATTTAATTGTAGAAGTAAATAAGTTACTGGTTAGGTCAAAGTCAAGTATAACAGAATATTAGATATTATAGGGACTTTAGAAGAAAGCCTTACAAAGAGGTCCGTGTAAAAGCTAACGTACTATAGAATCATGGGCGCGTGGCTATGGGTTGCTGTGCGTGGGTTGTTTTCCTCGCTGATCTCAAATATAGCGGACTGTCATGAATAGCGAACAGTGATTGGTCAAATTTTAAATTTGCATTACAACGACTGCATGACGACAGCGAAATAAAAACATTTCTTGTAAATAAATTTCATTCTTGCAAAATTTTGTAAGTTCAGTAAAATGCTTTCCGAGAAAAAAAAAATTCGAAAAACTTTCTAAGTGAAGGGAGCAAAGACACTGAAGGTAAGATTGTTTTAAATATTGATATATGGTTTGCTTATAATTGCTTTAAAAGCTGATCGTTGCGTATAATGAATAAAGAGTATAATTTCAGTGTATATTTGTTGATTATCCTATTTTATAATATTAATAAAATGTTATGTTGACATTGGGAAGCGATTGTTATTTACGCCGAAAGCAGTGGATATATAAATACACCCTGTTTAGTTCCATGCATTTATAAATAAAGACTAAGTACCCCTTAATTATATTGTATCTATGTGATGTAATTATTACAGTTTTACTAAAAATGCCCGCAAATGATTAACTGTACAAATATGTATCTGAAACATAATGCCATGATACCTGGTTCTAATAATATGCCTGCTTTGTGTTTATCTCAACTTTGGAATATCACCGCTATTTCCTTGCAACAAGAAGAGGTTATACTGAATTTACACCCTCGTCATTTTCCTTGCACTTTTTACTAGAGCTTCGTGAAGACAAAATCATTTCCAGTCCTTCGAGAACAAGCCGTAAATACGCGGACGTTTGACCACTTTGTTTCTTAATTAATTAAATTAAACCGAAATATTTATCTTACTTTATTCAATCAATTTTTGCATGCACACGTCAAGACACACAGGTAATATATGTAATAAATTGAAGTTTAATGAGGCTTTTTGTGAAGATGCTTTATGATAATACGTAGATACGACGTTGTAATTTGAAGGCTATTGACGGTCAGTAGCCTAATTCTAATTAAAATTTCGTACATAAACACGACACTCGATGGAATTGACGATCGCACGATGGAATTGACGTATCCTATCAACTTGATTTTTATATTTGCTGTGAACATATTGTTCTTTTTCTCTGGAATATCTTTAAATTCCTTGGTCATAATCAGTTTCTGGAGGTCTACACAACTTCGAAAGAAATTATGTTATTTCATGATAATGGTTTTGTCTTGTTGCGATTTGATTGCGGTTTTAACTAATCATGTATTGCTGCCTCTGATCACAGTGCTATTGTTGACTGGGAAATTTAGTGTATACCCTAGCTGGGTGAATATTTCCTTACGTTTGTCATCTACTTTCCCAGGATTTTCTTTGCTCGCTCTTTTGGTAATGAATTTTGATCGATATTTGGCGACATCTTATCCTTTCTTTCATCGAACCTCGATTACGAAGCGAAGGCTTGTAACTCTTCTGCTAATACTAATTATTCTGGAAGTAACTTTGGCACTGATATCTGTAAACGACTTCATTATTTCCAATGAAGTTTATGCTTTAATTTGTTTTGTTATTGTTTTTTCTCCGATGTTGTTTGTCAACTACAAGCTGTTCACAATCGCCCAGAAAAGCCGTAGAAATGGTCTATCATTTGGGATGAAAAGTTTTCTTTGAAAAATGTATCGAGTCGCTTGCTAGCAGTTGCTTGTTTTTTGGTACCATCCATTCCACTATTCGTTTACATCGGGATAAAAAGAAATTCGAAAAGGAAAACATTTACTTTGGATCATCTAAACCTTCTGCAACTGTGGATAAGAACCATGGGCCGGTGCAATGAATGGTACGTTTAACTGCTTAATCTTTTACTGGAGAAACAAGATTTTACGCACCGAGGGAATGAACGTTACTTATTAAAGGCTTGAAGTTATGTGCAAGAGTCCGATCCCAGTCTCATCATTAACTTTTAACTTTTGAACGAAATTATATGTATGGATTGACCATAAAATTTTGACTTTTCTCTAGACCGCGAATTTATCATGGTTTAATAACAATATATATACCCTTGCTATAGAGAACGTACAGTTAACTGTAGGTAGTAATTTAGACGCGTGTGATCGCAAGTTGCACAAAGGAAAAAATATACAAGACCAAGACAAGAAAAAAATAAATAGTTCACTCAGAAGAGTTAAGAAGGAAAGAAAACAAATTCAGTTTAAGGCTCAAAAGATGAATTACCGTCCAGTTTTTCTTGCTACAACCATTCTGATAAGCGAAAAATCGTCCACAAATCAACTTACTGAGAAACATGGAGGACAAACCTCGGCGTAAATTCGTCCAGAAATGTCGACGTTTGAAAACAAACGTGAACTTTGAAAGTTCTGGTTGTATTATATTCTATGACTGGAGGACATACAGTATACAAATAATGAATGTTTATGAGTGCAATGGTAAGAATATTTTCATGAGGTGAAAGATGGATTGTTCCATTCAACGAGGCGACAGCCGAGTTGAATGGAACATCCCATCTTTCACCGAATGAATATATTCTTGCCATTGCACCAAAATACATTCATTATTTGTATACTGTATGTCCTCCAGTCATAGAATATAATACAATTTGAGGGATGCGATTTATCGAAAACACAAAGAGTGCAATTGTACTATAGCCTACGTTTTATTCCATTGCACTCGCAGAGAGTGCAATGGAACGTATTCCATTGCACTGTTGGGAAATGGAATTTTCTATTCAATATCACGTGACATAAACAGCCAATTAAACGATCAGAATTCAATAAGGTATTATATAATATGTACTCAACACTGTGCATGACGTTATCAGTGCAATAGTGCAACCTTGCGACCTCAACAAGGTTCGGAGTCGAACGCATTGTGGAACAATCTCTCTCCGCCATATTTACGAGATCACCGCTATACTTGCGCCCGCGAAACCGGCTTGCTGTTGGATTGCGGTTGGATAAAATGCAAACTTGAATGAAATAGAAACTTGAATGTGGGGTGCGAGCAGTCGAATAAGATGAAAACTCGAATGTAAAATACAAACTTGAACAAAATACAAACTTGAATGTAGAATACAAAAAGTCCAATGAAATGAAAAATGTTCAACATAAAATACCAAAGTTGAATTTTGGCGGATATTTGACGCCATAGTTTACAACTATTGCAGGATTTTTGGAGTTGCTATACGTGTTTATTTTGTCATTCTTCTTTTGTTATGGTATATGCATGCTAGAACAATTCACGTTCCACTGTTCACTTCCAACTCCATGAATATTTGTTAAATGTTTTATGAGAACTAGATATGAAATAAGTCAAGAGATATAATGAGAAATTTAAGACACGATCAGGAATTGCCACCACAAATTGAAAGTTAAGGAGAGCTAGCTCATCTTAACTGAAAATGCGTAGAATGTGCATGCTGACGTGTACTGAATATTAATGAGGAAATTTTCAAATTATTTCAAGATATAGCTAACAATGCCAACAATGCCATACAATGATGAGAGTTGATAAGGTTGACTGTATATTAGGGACCTTTAGATTGTTTCATCGACATTTAACCGCTAACCCCAAACCGTGGTTTGATGTCTGCCGTCTGTCGTTTGCCGTTTAACATATATTGTGCGCCGTATCACACACAAAACATAAAAAATGCAACATGTAAAAATATGGCGGTCGTGGCCAGTGAATACACAAAGCACAAGGAGTACTTGAATTTCGGTGTATAAAAGCCGCACGGAATACTTCATAATCCTCAAAAATAACTTACTGTAGATTTAAAGATAAAAAATACACCAAATAAACTAAACCATATAACAACGTGAGATTAATCGCTCTCAAAGAACTAAAATCTTGCGGAAAATGAACTACGGGAAAACGTGCCTCAGTCGTCAAAAACGTGTAAAATATACGGCAAACGCAACCGCTAGACACAGATACGTGGTTCCCTGGGGTTTGCGGTTTGACGTTCGAGCAAAAAAACGATCGAAAATCTGAATGTCTCTATTCAAATTTTAACAAGCCCAAAAGTGATGAAGAGTTGAAGTCTTATTATTTCGGGTTTAATGAAAATGATCTAAAACTCATTAGAAGAGTTGTGGGAAGCTATATCTTTCTAGTTAGGTAGATATTTGCTTGATAGCATAACTAATTTAATTAAACACGTAATGATTTATTCGTAAGGAATGTGACAGATGAATTCAAAATTAAATTCGGGAAATGCTCTATCCTGTCCTAGTTTTGAGATCAGTGACTCGACGTGAGTCAAACGCGAGCGAGAGTTGAAACTCTCATTAAAATTCCAAGGAAAAGAGGATCTTCTTACATGCACAAATCCCCGGCTGCATGTAAAGAAAAGCTTTTCACCTAATCGGTCTATATCAGACAAAAGTTAATCTTCGTCTTTTGATAGTTAGAGCTATTATTTAGATTATACCATTGTTCATGATATATTTAGCAGTTTAGTTATACTTAGATTGTTGTTGTTCACAGGGCCGTAGCGAAGAGGAGAAAAAGGGGGGGGGGGTGTAGTATCAATTTGACGACAATATTTCCGTCGTCGCTACTTAATATTTTTTCCCTAAAATTGTTGGCGAGCGCAAAAATTTTGCCGGACATACAAAACTTTTCCCGGACATACCAAAAATTTTTCGGACACACCAAAATGTGTCAACTTTCTGCGTAATTTTAGTGAATTTAGCTAAATTTTTGCTAATAGTATTACTTTTTCATCCGAGCCACTCTAATATTTTCGCTGCTTACGGAAACGATCTGCCGATAAAACCGTTAATTTGCCGAAAAGACGTTTTCATGGGGGTGTCACACCCCTCACACCCCCCCGCCCTATAGCTAAGGCCCTGGTTGTTCAGTTATGCGACATTAACATTTCCCCCGGGACATTTTGACTGGATAGTAAAATCTAAACTTTATTGTGGGTGGAGAGCGATTGGATCGAATTTGTGCCACTCGAGGTTCTACTTGCAAAATATTGATACTCGGGATAAACTAACGGATACCTTGACAAAAGTTGTAGCCTGAGCATCAGGATCTCTATATTACAAATAGAGCCTGGCAGAAACCTTATAATCTGGTCGCTCTCCACCCACAGCAAAGTTTAATATTCTGTATGTATAATGTCAATTTCACATAACTGAGCAACAACAATATCTAGTTAAAACTGCGAATAATAGTATATCTAATAAGTAATGATCGATCAAAAGACATATTAATTTTTTTGAAATGAAAAACCAGATTTTGGCTTTCTTACATGCGGCCAGACAGGGATTTATGTCAGTCCCTCTTTTCCCTTCCATCCGCCCGAATTTAAGAAAGGGAAAACAAGGGCCTGACACTGAGGCTACAACAGTTGTGGCATTCGCAGTTATATGGCAGATAGCCGGACATACACCAAAGAGATAAGGCATTTAGCTATGTCTTCGCTGATCCGCATATATTCTCTCGTAGGCAACGCGAATCCGAGCTTTCTTGAAGACTCTGACGGAAACTAAAGATCATGTTAAAGCGATGGATAAATTCAGAGATATAATAGAAAGTGTTGGCTTCAGTTCAGATCCTATTGTTTACAACAGATTGATATTGTTTGCTGAAAGTCACAAGGTAAAATATAGTTTATGTCTAAAATGAGCAGTTTGGCTCAAAAATAAGTGTTTTTATTAACACATGTACGTAGCAGATACTACGAAGTTTGCACGAAAAATTTTGGTGTTGGTTAGCACTAATTAACTCCTTCAAATAATCGAAAAAGTTTTATTCCCAAGTTTGCACTCAGCACTACAGTTCTAATCTGTCACTTGCAGTAGTAAATATTACCAAGCAGGAGGCGATAAATTTGTTTGTTTAACAAAATGAAAGGTTTGTATCACATCTGATTGAAGTGTAATGACTATTGTTCGGTAAATAACTCAACCGTTTTTCACAATACAATGGAAACTGATATCTAAGAAAAAGTATTTTTCATTTTCAGGTTATAGCTGAGGAACTTTTCAGAAACATTTTACTTGCCATGGCTGTTGTTTTTGTCGTTACCTTGGTGATTATTGCAAGTCCCATGACGTCAGTCCTTGTTTTCCTTTGTGTTGTTTTTACTGTGGTAGGTATACCCTTTATTCCACCTTATTTGAACTCATCCACTATTTTATTGCTCAATTACCTCAATATGAGGCAGGCATGTAGGAAGCAAGGACGCCAGGGGCCGACTCCCACCCCAATAATTGAATTTTAAAATAATTGTGCTGATCGGGCAGTAAATAATATTAATCATCCATCCTGATTAACGGATAGCATATATACGTACTATATACGTACTATAGGCTATTAATACTTTATAGTTTAAAAACTTACAAATTTGTATACTTTGCCATCATTCATTTACGTCATTACGTATATTATTATTTATACTCATTACGTCCGTATCCGAACTGATGTAATAATTTCACTTTAGGTGGATGTAATTGGACTGATGTATTTCTGGGATTTGACTATTGATACAGTATCAACAATAGTTATAATAATTGCTATTGGTTTATCAGTGGATTACGCATCTCATGTTGGACACACGTTTTTGGTTAAATCTGGAAGTCGTAAAGGTACAACTATCGATATTTCCGAACGTTCATTCAATCATATGATAGACTAAAAGCTTTGTGAGAAAAATAAGCGTGGCATCATTTAATTTTCACAAAAAGAAACAATTACGAACATCCAATCATTGCCAATATAAAACACAGAACAGTGATTCCAAAAAAGAAGATTTTTGAAATAGTTTACCATTCTACTATGTTTTAGTCATTATCATGATGATGACTTTTAAACATAATTTTTCAATTTATCATGATGAGGAACATTAAAACATAATTTTTCAAAGGGAAGCTTTCAAAATGAACCCTAAAACATGCAGATGTTCCTTTCTGTGACTGAAACAAAATGTTCATTCTCGGAATTCCCGTTGTGATTTTGTATTTTGTAAAAATACTCGGTGGTTCTTGACTTCTTGTGATTCTTGTCAATATACTTCGATCAGTATTCTCAGAAAAAATTAATAAAAAATAAATAAAAAATTAATATTGTCCCAGAACATTTACTCATATTGTTTATGCAATAATCAATATATATGGGATCCATTGTATATCTTTGAGTATACACAATTCACCAAACAGATTAATATATAATAAGGTAAGGATAAAATATTCTTGAGTAAGAAACCGCGACCTTCGAATTATTAGATCAATGCTCTACCAACTGAAAGTGAGCTACACGATCAGGACGGATTGAATCTGACTGGCAGTTATGACCTATATGCTAATTGTCATAAACATACTCCTTCACATGAGTTTTCCCACACGTTCAAGTGCTAATCTAGACAATGCTGTATATAATAATGCCTTCTTCTCAGTTGCAAAAAGTGTTCAACCTCCCTCGGGGTAATTATAAAAGTTTAGGTTTTCAAACATTCCTCAAAATAATGTGAATTATGGCGTTTTCAAATTGCAAAACATATAAATTATGTCATTCAAAATCTGTCTTGTATTCCTATTTCCTACGGACTGCTATTTAGGATTGATCTGCTATTTAGCTGGTTAATTGCATTGTACTTGCATACAAATAAACAGTACAGGCTAGCATACAGAAAAGCGATCACCAGAAAGTGGAGTCCTCATCGACCTCACGTATGGTGAACCTTCTTCACTGGCGGTACCCGCATACCTACACGCAGCTTTTTAGTTGTTTTTTTGTTTTCTCCACCAAACCAGGATTAAGAACGTGTAGGACCCTCCCCTTGTTCTTTGCTCGTGAATTCGGAAATGTCAAATATATACAAATGAGGGTCTCCCAGGGGGGGGGGAGGGTGCGTGTTCCCTTCAAAATTTTCGCTTTGATCCCTTGCTCCCTTCCAAAATTTAACCATGCTCGCTTGTTCCCCTTTATAAATTAAAAATTTTGTTTCGTTACTCAGAAAATTTGACAGTTTATCCTCGCTATCATCCATTATATTGATACATACGTTCACTTTAACAAAATTAAACAGAAAAATACAATCACAAGCCTGCAGATGTTGCTCATTTGAAAAATACAATACTGAAGAAGACTATAATGTTAGTTATTTGACTTCATGGAAGTATTGACAGTATTACTATTACAAAACAAAAAATAGATCTAATGAACAGCATTGCATTTATAGTTTAGTACTCATGTTCCGCACGGTATTCTGTGGGACAATTTGGCCATACTTCATGCGCCAGTCTTTCATTTGCTGCACTTTTGACTTTGTCAACTGTACTGCTGAAGATGGGACCATCTTTGGCAGAGGTAAATAATACTTCAAGTCAAATTTGACTTGAAGTATTCAAGTGCTCCTTCATTGCTCGACTGAAGTGAAAGTCGAACTGCAACTGCATTGGTATATCACATGCCCTGCCCTCATCTCGGAGAAACAAATTCTCGACTACCAGCGTCAAAAGGCTTTTAAGTTTGAACACCTTCAATAGCTGTGGAGCATACTTTTGAAGCAGACCTCGGATTTCTCCCAAAGATTCTTGTTTCGTCTTCCACAACGACTGAAGAAACTTAACGTTTCCTTGCAGACCTTGGCTCTGGGCATTTGTCCTAAGGAAGGCTTTGACTTATGCATGCACTGACAATCAAAGTCATATACCTCTTCGATTCTGGTGACTGCTGCGTCGACTGTGAAGGGCGTTGCCGTTGGTATCTGCTTTTTCAGGTGCAAGCAAAATGTGACAGAAAACTCATGATGGCTGCTCAAAAATCTGACTAGAGGAGGAACTTCAACTTATTATCCTCAAGCAGCCCGTAGAACAGTCTACCACAACTACACCCAATGGTTGGACAAATTCAGCACTCTTTCGATCCCTCATTCCCTTGCCATTTTCAGAATAATGAATGCATTCAGTGCGATTTGCTCGCCGGCTCAACAGCAGGAAAGGAAGGTACTTCATCTAGCAAGCGCAAGTGCAAACCCGACTTCAGGACGTCAGGCGCAAATCCGAATTCAGGAAGGTCATTAATGTCAGAAACGGGCAAAAACTTCCCAGGAAGATCAGGAAATGATATATTATGCACATTTTTCATCTACAATACGTTAGGCCATTGTATAACACTTGTATACATTCTAGGAAAGGGGCTTTGTTCCCCTGTTCCCCAATATATTTCGTGTTCCCTTGTTTCCTAATTTTGTTTTCCTTTGTTCCCGTGTCCCCATTGTAAAATTTACAGTATTCCCTTGTTCCCCCAAACCCCTGGGAGACCCTCACAAATGAATATATCAATTATAATTCAACACTTTTTAGAGAGAACAATAAAGACGTACCGCGATATTGGTCCAGCGGTATGGAATGGTGGTTTCAGTACATTCTTAGCAATTGTGCCATTGGCCACTTCTCAATCGCATATTTTCATCACATTCTTTAGGGTAAGACTTATTCAATCGATAAAAAATAAAAATTATCTCTCTGTGTACAATTTACTAATATAATTGCTTAATTAAAAAAAAGACAGGTTTCCCCCTCTAGATAAGAATATACCATCCTTCAATTGAAACTTATTTTGGATAAAACCAGACGGGCCTTTCTGAGAGAGTGACGTATTTTTCAAAGCCAACAACAAGTATAAAATGTCTAACACTGACCAAGAGCCAGAATCCAACTAAAAATGTGAAGTGCCGCGAGGGAGGGGCGGAGCGGCCCAACGCATGCAATTCATTATAGTTTAATAGTACGATTATCCAAACGGAGAAGAATGCGTCACCCAACTATCCGTGATTCAGGCCCTTACTCCGACACCAACAGCGTTGTTAGTAGTGTATACTTGCATAAGGCATT